CACACAAATACACACACTCCTATATAAAAATAGGCGGCATTGAAAAAAATAAAAAGCCCAAAGTTAGGCTCCTGTATCCAAAATTAAGCTCTTAAATAAATAAATTAGCCTGATTTTCAAAAGCACAGCGCAGTGAATGGCTTTCACTGACATAAGAGGAAGCATCGTGTTGCTACAGATTGAAGATCAGGCCTGAATATGGATTTGGAGGGCTAATTATAGAAAGCTGTTTGCTACCAGCTTGACCGAGAACAACAAATTTCAGGTGAAATGACATTGATTTTTCCCTTCTTTCTTCAGAGTTTGTCTACGCTTAACCAGCGTTAGTAAAGGGAGGAAAAACCCTTAAACAAGTAAATTAAATCCCACAAGGAAACAGATAAACAGGGATAAAATTGTTTACACCAGTGCTGTACATTTGTGTTTGGAAATAGAGTTAAGAATTAACAATGTTAGAGCTGGGTGAAGATGTATGTTGATTAATAAAATAGGTATTTATTAATTGTGGAAAACTACTAGATAGAAATACTGCTTTTCCCAGTTATCCTCACAGTATTTTTGATTCAGTATATTGATTCTCTGCTTTTGTGAGACCCACCTGGAGTACTACACACAGTTCTGGTGTCCCCAACATAAGAAGGACATGGAACTGTTGGAGTACATCCAGAGGAGGTCATGAGACTTGATAAGAGGACTGGAGCACCTTCCCTATGAGACAGTTGGAGCTGTTCAGCCTGGAGAAGAGAAGGTTGTGTGGGGACCTCATAGTACCTTACAGTATCTGAAGGGACTCCAAGGAAACTGGACTTTTTATTAGGAACTGTAATGATAGGACAAGGAGCAATGGATATAAATTTAAAGAGGGGAAATTTAGGTTAGATGTTAGGAAGATTTTTTTCCCTGTGAGAGTGGTGAGACACTGGCACAGGTTGCCCAGGGAGGTTGTGGATGCCCCAGCCCTGTCAGTGTTCAAAGCCAAGTTGGATAAAGCCTTGAGCAACCTGGTCTGGTGGGAGGTGTCCCTGCCCATGGCAGGGGAATGGGACTAGATGATCTCTTAGGTCCATTCCACCCCATTAGCATACTGTGATATTATTTCCCAGTTAACCTCACAAACGATTGGCATCAAGAAGAAATGGGATTGTAGTCCTCCTTTTCTTCTCTTTGCCAGATTTGGGTCTGAAGGATGATGAAGAGGGAGCACCATATATTTTTTCAGGCACCTAAGACAGTACAAAGGGAAGTTCATTCACCTCCAGCTGCATATGGTCCTTGGAGATGCTTCGCTCAAACCCTGTTCATTTGGGAGCTTGTGAGCTTTTGCTAATCAATATTATGCCAAGGGATTCCCTAGGACACGTCCTGAGGTCACAGTCCCATGTGGATAGGGGCATATTTGTGCTTCTGTGTCTTCCCACCAAGATCAGATTGGGCAGGGCTGGTCTTTGTGGTGTGAAGGAAAATGTCCACCCTGCATGGAGGACCATCAGCAGGTAGGGTCGTAATCATGTGTTTGTATTGTGCTGTTCAGAGGCTGAGGACAGCACTAACAGATCTGAGTTTTGATGTCAGAAGAATTTGGAAGAGCCATTTTGGTGCTCTATGACAGTTTCTCCATCTATGGAAGAGGCACAATACAGCTGACCTTTGTCAAAGGCCATGGGCTCAACAGTCAGGAGAATTCAGTGTTACTGTCATTGCCACTGTTCTGGCCATCGATGGAAACCAGATGAGAACATTATGTATATCATGTCAACTCATTGTGGTCAGTTAGAAACAGTCATGTTTAAACTGTGTGGATGATGGCGAATCCCTAGGGATCAAGGAGAAATCACTGTGGGACACGCTGTCCTTCCTCTTAGTTTCTTCTTAATATCTTTGAGTGACTCAATGTCATTGTAATGGTTTGGTTCAGCCAACCTAGAGTGCTTGGAAAAGTAAAGACAGACTCAAAAACAACAAAAAAAAAAGTGGAGATAGCTGATGGGAACAGCAATGTGGAAGAGTTGAGGTGTAGAAAATGTGAGCTGTGAGAAAGCATTGGAAGAAATTTTTCCTGGAGAAAAGGAGGCTCAGGGGGGACCTTCTCGCTCTTTACAACTCCCTGAGAGGAGGTTGGAGCCAGGGGGGAGTTGTTCTCTTCTCCCAGGTAACAAGTGACAGGGTGAGAAGAAATGGCCTCAAGTTGCTCCAGTCAGATTGGATATCGGGAAACATTTCTTGACTGAAGGCATTGTCCAGCCCTGGCAGAGGCTGCCCAGGGCAATGGTGGAGTTACAGTCCCTGGAGGGATTTAAATTTGTGTAGATGTGGCACTTGGGGACATGACAGTGATGGGCTTGGTCATGCTGGGAAATGGTTGGACTCAATGGTCCTAGAGGTCTTTTCCAGCCCTCCAACCTTAACTATTCTATGAAGTTGGCATTTTATTAGTCTGGAGAAAAGAAATATTTGTGTTAACTATTTGCAAACAGGTAAGAGACTACTGCAGGGTGACAGCAAATAAACTCTTCTCCTTGTCCATGGCTGAGAAATGAGTGGCTTAATCCTCAGAAGAGGAGTTTAGGTTTCATGGGGAGGGGAGGCCATCCAAGACTATAGGACAGATTTGGTGACTATCTCGAAGGAGTTTGGCAGAGGTAATGCTGTCATTGCCTGTGGGCAGCACCTCATGGGCACCACCTCCTTGTTTTTTTGGTGGCCCCGTGTCACTGATATCATAAAAACCCGTTGCATGCTCCTTTTCTCTGCTTTCTCCTTGAGCGATTTAACTCTCCCTGACTTTGCCTTTCCAGCTAAACTACCTTTATGTAATTCCCTGCATGGGTGAAGGGGAGGCAGGATCCCTGTTAGGGCTGGAGTCTTTCAGGGAAGTGCCAAGGACAGGTGGTGGAATTGGGCATGTTGAGCAGTGGGAGAGCAGGTGGTCCACGGTCATTTCCACCCCACTCGGGATCTGTTGTGGATGTCACACCAGTGTCACCAGTTTCGTATGTGACTGGCGTTGCATTTTCTCGAGCGTCGAGCCCCATCTGGTGGCTTTACTGCGTCAATTTTGTGTCCTTGCGGTCTTCTTTCGGGATTTTTCGTCCTCTGTGCTTGTGAACTGCGAACGGGAAGGAAGGACAAGATGCTGAAGAAAGGGCAGGACGTGCAGAGCTGCCTCTGCTTCCCTCTCAGCGCCCTGTCCCTGGGTGTAATTTGGAGATACAGAGGCTGTCGTGGCTTATGTCCTTCCCTCCTGCTCTTGCTGTGCAGTCTCACACCGAGTGGCAAGGAATGATCTAATCGTTTTGGCGAAACCCCAGTTTGTGCTGTGAGCCCCTCCCAGAGCCTCCAGAAGGCACTTCATCCCACTGCCGTGCTGGCATCGGAGGTGGGACAGATGAACGGTTCTGGGAGGGGACGTTTCTATTGACTAGCTCAGATGACCAACTTTAGGGTCAGCATTAGGTGAAATTATTCCCATCCCAAACAAGGCTACAGACACTGTTCAGAAAGAGAAGAAAAAAACCCCAATGTTAGATCATCAGTCCCTGGAAGCGTTCAAGCTCAGGCTGGATAGAGCTCTGAGCAACCTAGTCTAGTGGCAGGTGTCCTTGCCCATGGCAGGGGAACTAGATGATCTTTGAGGTCCCTTCCAACCCAAACCATTCTATGATTCTATGATATCAGTGAGCATTAGAAAGGATCCTGTTAGGAGAGGCTTCCTTTCTTAAATTCCACAAATCCCGTGGCAACTGGGCACCTTGTGCTACCCTGCCTTGATCAGCTGCATTTACAGAGGTTGCCTGAATGTCTCCTGAAGAGAAGTTGTGTCCTCAGCATGAGGTTTGCAGGTGTCGTTGCACATCTGATGTGAAACACAGGCAATGATAGAGCAGCACCTGCCTGTGCATGAGACACTTCCTGCTAGTCCAACGTTGCCCAAAGTCTCAATAGCTGACCAGTGTCAAGCTGTGGCTTTTCACATCTGTGGGTCATATCTGTTGAAGGTGAAGGTGATTTCTCATTGCTCCTTCTGTGATGAAATAGGGTCAAATCATGGAATCATAGAATATCCTGAGTTGGAAGACACCCACAAAGATCATCAAAATCCAACTTCTGACCCTGCACAGGGCAGCCCCAAGATTCCCACGATGTGTCTGAGAGCATTGTCCAATTGCTTCTTGAATTCTTGGGTCTGTTATGGAAGCTTCTTACTAGAGTGCTGAAGGGACTTAGATGGTCTGTCAAGCCACCACCAAATGTTATAGCAGTATTTGTCAAGTAGCTTCTTGTCTTCTCATGATGTTAATATAAGTGAGGGAGTTGTTTTCTTGTGCTTCACAAGCATTTCCTACCCCGAGATTTCACATCTGGGTGGTGCAAATTAAAGGTGTTCCGCTCTTGCAATATGAAATACACTTTGTGATTTGGTTTAGTGGGCATGGTGGTATTCAGTCAAAGGTTGGACTTAATGATCTCAGAGGTCTTTTCTAACATAATGGTTGGATTCTAAAAGTGCTGCTCAGATCTTGCAGGAGATAGTAGAACTAGCCTTTCAGTATCTGAAGGGGGCCTATAGGGGGGCTAGAGAGGGACTCTGTTAGAAGCTGCAATGATAGGATAAAGGGTAATGGGTTTAAATTGAAGGAGGGGAAATTTAGGCTAGATGTTAGGAAAAAGTTTTTTGCTGTGAGGATGGTGAGACACTGGCACAGGTTGCCCAGGGAAGCTGTTGTATGAACACCCCTGATGGTGTTCAATGCTAGGCTGGCTAAAGTCTTGAGCAACCTGGCCTGGTAGGAAGTGTCCCTGCCCATGGCAGAGGGTTGTGACTAGATGATCTATAAGGTCCATTCCAACTCTTAAAATTCTATGATTCTATGAACTCTGTAGACCTCTATGTCTACCCCAGATTCCCTGTCCCCCAACCAAATAGCCCACAGCCCCATCCTCCTCAGGTTTTGACACATGCCAAAGTCTCACACTCAGCTTTTCCTCCTGTTTCCTACAGGTATATCCGAACTATGTACCTGGGGATCCAGAGCCAGAGGCGGAAGGAACACCAGCGGCGTTTCTACTGGGCTATGATGTACGAATATGCAGACGTCAATATGTTGCGCCTCCTGGAAACGTTCCTGGAGAGCGCCCCTCAACTGGTGCTACAGCTCTGCATAATGATCCAAAAGAACCGTGCAGAAACATTACCATGTAAGTGGCCCCCTCACTCCCCCCTACCCCATCCTCCTGGGCCTCTGACCCCATGCTCAGCAGCCGATGGATGTGTTGCTCACTGTCCACCCCTATGTGACCTGGTGGGTAAGGGGCTGCCACTTTGGACAAATCTCATTCCAGCTCTGCGCTGCATTTTCTGGGTAAAATTTCTTCTTGTTCCACTGAGAAAAAAAATCAATATCGAGGAAAAGATGAGATTCAGCTCTTCCACAGCCAGTCCAGGCTAAAGGAATGATGGTGTTATCAGAATGAGGCAGGCAGTCTGCTGCTATGGCAAGTGTTGCCGTTCGTTTGCCACCTGGCACTGGGCAAACATGATCATTCCCTGCCTCAGTTTTCCTCCTTACATAAGTAGGATGATAAAACTGGTCAGATTTGAGTTTGTGTTGTGAGGACAAATGGTTCAATGTCTGCAATGCTCTGATGGTGTCAACTGTAGCATAAGGAGGTTTTTTTATAAGTAAAGACACAGGAATTAAGGTTTCATCATTGGTACAATGGTTCTCAGCAAGTGAAAGAAAAGAGAGGGAGAAGGTAGTGGAGGGGACGGTGTAGGGACAGAGATGTAGTGGAGATATCATTGCATAGGTTAATAGATGAGATGCTGCTTGGAAGCCACCACAGGGAAGAGTTTGCCAATTCTGATGTCCTTTGCTGCAGTGAGGTGCTGAGTGTGGGGCATCCCCCAAGCTGAGAGGCATGTGGGCCTGTCCCAGCACTGGAATGATCTGCTCTACCAGCCCATGAGCATGGTGCCTGACTGAGGGAGGGTCACCAGCTCAAGGGAGAATTGTTCTTCCCAAGGACCAGCATTGGTATGAGCTGAGGAGCTGCTGGGTGATTCAGCCCCTGCTCAATTCACACACCAGGGATGACACTCAGCTGCTCAAAGACAGCCTAGTGGTGGCATATAATTTCTGACAGACCTGAGAAGTTTTTGGAGCTGAGATTGGAACCGGGCAGTCCTTCAGGGTTAAATTTTGCTGGCTGAACCAAGGTCACCATTATCTACAGCATCAGTAAATCGAACTGCTCTCCCCTTCCTCCATACTTCCAGCATGTCCATCATGGTTGTATATAGAGACTTCCCTCCTCCTATTTTTGCAGTCTTTTTCTGAAACCTCTCATCACGAGCTCTCCAGGCCTCCAAAGTGCTGACTTGATGAATATGCCTTTCTACAACTCCTGCTAGAACTGCTCGCATTTGCCAGCCCCCCTTTTCCTGCTGCTTCCAACATTATTAACCCTACTGAATACATAGAAATCATAGCCTCAGAGGCTTGCCAGGGCGTTATGCAGATTATTGGACTCACTGCAGAAAGCACTGGGGGAAGTTTCCTGGCCTCTCTTGTGCTGCGAGTCAGACAGCACAGACAAATAATCCCTCTAGGCTTTCAAATCTGTGGCTCGCTCAGTTTGCCACTTCCAGGCATGGCTGCCTAATCCAC